AGGCCCAGATGGCATACATCCGAGAGTTCTGAAAGAACTCAAATGTGAACTTGTAGATCTCCTGACAAAGATATGTAATCTTTCCTTAAAATCTGCCTCCATTCCTGAGGATTGGAAGGTAGCTAATGTCACTCCCATCTTTAAAAAGGGTTCCAGAGGAGATCCGGGAAATTACAGGCCAGTCAGTCTGACGTCGATACCGGGTAAATTGGTGGAAACCATTATTAAGGAAAGAATTAGTAGGCACATAGATGAACAAAACCTATTGAGGCAGACTCAGCACGGTTTCTGTAAGGGAAGATCTTGTCTCACTAACCTGTTAGTGTTCTTTGAGGGGGTGAACAAACATGTGGACAAGGGGGATCCAATAGATATTATTTACCTTGACTTCCAGAAAGCTTTTGATAAAGTTCCTCATCAAAGGCTCCTAAGTAAGCTCAAAAATCATGGGATAGAAGGACAAGTCCTTTTATGGATCAAAAACTGGCTAGTTCATAGAAAACAGAGAGTGAGTGTAGGTGGGCAATTTTCTCAGTGGAGGGTGGTAAGCAGTGGGGTACCGCAGGGATCAGTACTTGGTCCACTGCTTTTTAACTTGTTCATTAATGATTTGGAGATGGGAGTAAGCAGTGAAGTGGCTAAATTTGCGGATGATACAAAGTTGTTCAGGGTGGTGAAAACCAGTGAGGATTGTGATCATTAGAAATACTGTGTAGAGTTCTAGTCACCACACCTTAAAAAGGATATTATAGCTTTGGAAAAAGTGCAGAAAAGGCCAACTCGAATGATAAAAGGGTTGGAACACTTTCCCTATGAGGAAAGGTTAAAGCACTTGGGGCTCTTTAGCTTTGCTGAGGGGTGACGTGATCGAGGTTTATAGGATTATGCGTGGGATAGAGCTGGTAGAGAAAAAAGTACTTTTTTCCCTTTCTCACAATAAAAGAACTTGTGGGCACTTCATGAAATTGCTGAGCAGTTAAAACAGATTAAAGGAAGTAATACTTCACCCAATGAGTGATTAACACATGGAATTCACTGCCATAAGAGGTGGTGACAGCTACAAGCATGGACGGCTTCAAGAGGGAATTAGATAAGTATATGGAGCAGAGGTCCATCGGTGGCTATTAGCCACAAGGTATAGATAGGGACTCCGGGGCAAGTGATGCTCTGTCTTCTTGGTGCTTGGGGGGGGGGGTCAACAGTGGTAGGGCTTTTAGTGTCCTGGCCCCACTGCTGGACCTCCTGATGGCACCTGGTATTTTTCGCCACTGTATGACAGAATGTTGGACTGGATGGGTCATTGGCCCGATCCAACATTGGCTTCTCTTATGTTCTTATGTTGTGTTCTTCAAACTCCAGTGGGATGATAGTCTCTTGACAAATTTTAAATCACTGTTCCTTCATGGAGATAAATGTGTATGACTGCATAATAAAGCACTGACACGTGGATTTTTGTATATTTTTAAAAAATAAAATCATAGTACAATCAGGGGGGAAATGACCAAAGCATATATATGATAGACAACCTCCTGCTTTTTTCAAGCTCACTATAACTGTGTCCTTATTAAGTTAACATTTCCTTTACAGAATAGATGTGAACGGTCTAATATTTGATAACACATTTCAATGCTGAACAGAGTTTCAAGGTCCATTGACTCCAGTGAACTTAAAAGGGTGTATTTCTGGTTAGGACTGTGCTTTGAGTTTCCCCAGTCCACATATTATGGACTATACAAATTGGGTCTGGGTATGATACTTCCCTCACTTAAATGAAGTCTGTTTTCTTGTCACTTTCACTTCCTACAAAATATGCTGCCACCAGGATCACAGTGAATCCACATTCCATTAAACCCCACATTTGGTAACTAAGGCTTACCCTGAAACCATTAATCTTAGTGTTCAGAAGAACTGTTAGGGCATGTTTATAGAATAGCTAAAAACAAATTTTATTTTAAGAAACACATACAGTTCAGACTATTTATTTCTTTTAATACAGCCGAAGACTAGGAAAAAATGTAAATCAATCAAAGAGAAAAAAATTCAAAATACACAACAGTAAACCTTCCTATCACTACTGTCTTCCTTTTCTAAATTACCTCACTTTACAAAACCCCACCTAAGACAATAAGGCTAGGAAAAGTTGAAGGCAGCAGGAAAAGAAGACCCAACATGAGGTCGATTGTCTCAGTCAAGGTAGCCACTTCCCTCAGTTTGCAAGCTCTGAGCAAGGCTGTTAACAATAGGAGGCCATTAATGCATAGGGTCTCCATAAGTCAGAAGTGACTTGACAGCACTTCATACACACACACCTCTACTTAGCTCTGCATTTTCTTTCTGTAAGGAATTTCTTTCTTAAATCCCCTCTCATATGTATATACCCTTAATCAAATCTTTTCATCCACTTCACTCCTGGCGCTCTCTCTCTCTCTCTCTCATTGGTTCTTTCTCTCTGTCTGATTTAAGAAAGCTATTCAGACAGTCATTTTGCATACATGGAACCTGATCCATCAGAATGATTCTTGTTTAGAAGCCAGTTTCCATATGTGGATTTTGTTTGATGGATCAGGATGTTTTACTCAAAGACGTCAATTAATGATCATGTCTGCTGAGTACAGCACTGAATTTGTAGAAGGAACATGTTAGCATCCTTATTACTCTTTCTTAAATTCTACAGGATGGGACCAGAATCTTCACAACTAAGTTGCTTACATTAATCATGTGAACTGTTATATAGAACAGATCAAGCACAGACAAGAATTCAGTCAATCTGAAGTCGTATTTAATTCCACTGAAGGCAAATTATTTCCCAGTTGTAAAAATTAGTATATTTCCTGTTTAAGTGTTTTTAAGATTTTATTTTTTAAATAAATCACCTGGTTTCCTCATGGAGAAATAGTGAAGTTCTTTAAGAATGTTAGCCTTCTTTAGACAAATATTAGCCCTATTTACACCTAAACACATGTAGCGGAGAACAGGATTGCACCTACAGGTCATGCCCAGCCATTCCATGTTCAGCATAAGGTCTGAACAGAGACTACATGCACAGGTGTGTATGATTGTGGATATTCCTTGTTACAGCATTCCCAATTGTCTAGAAGAACCTGTGGGCATATGCTTAAATGTAAATGTAATTAATCATATAGATACAAATGAAGGTATCCAGACCTTCCGCTTAACATATGGATGCTGGGAGATTCAGTGCACACACATGGAAATGTCTGAAGCAAGCTATTTTCAGGGTTTTTTGTTTGTTTTTGCAAAAGCCTGTTTGGTTTAGTAGCAGCATAATTCTGTTGCTGCTGCCACCATAGCAGTTTAAGTAAGTTTTATTAATGTTATTTGGTTGACTGAGTTATATTTACCTTTTCCTGTTTTTAAAATGATTTTTACCTGAGATTCTTTTATTAGATTTATACACTGAGTTTCTGCCATGAGTGGATTTCCTAGTGGATTTCTCTATTGGCATATTATTGTTACTTGTTCTTCCATCCCTTTTAAAACCACTTGAAAATTATTCTCCAGTGATGATACCCTTGAAAGGATGTTTTAAGTAAACTTTAATATTACTATTGTATTATTACAAGTAGAGCATCCCAAGCTCTTAATATATCAAGGGTTACTGTTTTACTTATTGTTTCTCCAACACTTTTTAGTGTCTGTTATGATAACTACCTCATTCATTATCTATCCAGAGTGCAGATCTGCGGTTTCGGCAGCCTGAACATGGTGGCTGCCACAATTGAATTTCTAACATCTCCCATTGATATCAGCACACAAAGCCAAAAAAAAAGGGAAGATGCCAATTTCACTAAAGTCAGTACATACCTTAGGTGAAGTGCCCAAAAAAGGTGACCAGAACTATCACTGGTAATGGAGATTTACCTTCTTTATGGTGAAAAAGTATGTAGGAAGTCTATTCAAAAGGGCCTATTGGAGTAAATAGTATACTTTAGATAATTATTCTCTGTTTCCCAAAACCCTCACAAGATTTCGTATTTGGGCATCTCATTTGTAAATATGACCCCCTTAAACATATTTTGTATTTATTGTATTATATTTCATATTCCAATACAGATTTTACAATTTAAATCTTAAATTGGTTGCATCTTTTCAGGTATTCTCCCCCTAATCTGGAAATGCCATGCCAGAAGCAGTACAGTACATAAGAGAGTGATAATTTGCTACTTTCAGCCTAGTATACACCCTGTCTTTAGAAAATTGGAAGTTATCCCAGAAGCCAGATTTTCTGAAGTGCCGTCAATATTTTTCAAATTAGGGGGTACAGGCTTTACTTTGCAAAACTGTTAGGGAAATAGTAGCCTGGTTGAAAGGGAACTGGATCTTCAAACAGCTTTGCCTGTACCCAAGCTCAAGACTTGAGCCACTGGTGACTTGAATGCATCTTGAGTCCCAATATGAAAGATGGACTGTACGTGCAAATAACTACATTTATTTAGGAGTTGTGCAGCTTAGAATAAATTCAGAAAGAAACCAAGCTTATATGCATTTGTTAAGTGTGTGTATGTCATAGTTCCTCTAAACATAAAGTGTGCTTTAAAAACACTCTCTGTAGAGAGCAACAGTGCTATGATATGTCATGCCATATTCAGTTAGGATAAACAAACTGCCCTGGGTATGTGGGGGGGGGGGAATTGCCCATTGTGAGGAGAGGAGTTTGAAAAGAATATGAAAAGTGAAATACTGTAAACTTTCCTCTGTAAAGCTACCAATTATGACTTATATTTATATCAGTCATATCAAACTAGATTATCCATAGTGCCAAAAATCTGTTTCCCAGGCTAATAAATATCTTAAGCATGTTTTGTTATTGGCATAGTTGCTTTGATATTCCTTAAGAGGAAGCAAACATATGTTTTAAAACTGAATCATTTGCAATAGCGAGTGCATTTCTGACTCCTTAGTTGCATCTAGAATTTGACTGGAATGCAAAATATTGTCTTACTCACAACTTACCGCATGTAACATAATCTCTGTTGCAGGTTACTTAGTTATAGAAAATCCATCAAGTAAGTTGATTGCCGATTTTCATATTGTGGCTATAGATTTGCTAGTTTGATTAATAATAAAGTGTGGCTCCTTTTTGTATACTTATTAGAAAAAGCTCCAAGCTGTGTGTAAATCATAAAAGCATGACTAATTGCATGGTAACTGGAGAAATGCTTTCTCTCTCTCTGGGGTGAAGCCTGCATGTCTGTGTTTTAGCTTGGCAAGTAATACAGGGATATTTAACTCCTTGGGTTTTAAAAACCATGTCATTATGGGAATGAAGTCACTGCTATATTTTATATGACTAAAGCCCTGCATTGTATAAAATGGTTTTTGTGTGACAAAAGAAGTATTATGTGCTTGAACTGAATTGAAAGGTGACTTTGTAAACATATATAAGTATCAAAAGACCGCATCTGAAGAAACCAGACTTATGAAACAAAGATTGTACTTAGCAAGTAGTGCTACATCAACAAAATCAAGGGATATTTAAAAACAATAAGCTATTATTTCACAATAATTGCAACTTAAGTGAATGGCTCATACAACTTTTTTTTAATTGTGTACCTGAATTGTAACATCCTGGTGATTAAACAGGCTTTTTTGGTAGGCAAAGGGACCCACGAGCTAATGCTGACTTTTTATTTCCAGGCCAATAAGCAAGAAATGTTTTCTACAACATGTTGAAGAGCTTTGTTCAAACAACAACCTAAAGTTTCAAGAAGAATTTTCGGTATGTTACCAGCAGTTGTCACAACATTGTGAGGCCTTCATTTGGTTCATGCGTCATATTTCATGTCCATTTTAAGCAGGCAAGGCTGTGAAGGACACTGTCATTGATCATCAGTGCCCAATTACCAGTCTGATTGTTTAGAAAGTAATGTTACACACATTTAGGTACTGTTATCTTCTCATTGCAATGTGATGAGAAATATTTATACAATGACACTAGAATTGATTATCCTTGTGACTAGTGATAGAGCAATGTTTCTTAAAATGGTCCTTTTAAGTACTGTAAATACTAGCCCTGATCTAGGTAGCCCAGGGTAGCCCAATCTCATCAGATCTCAGAAACTAAGCAGGGTTGGCCCTGGCTAGTATTTGGATGGAAGACCACCAAGGAATACCAGGGTCATGACTAGGGGTGTGCATTTGGCATATACCAAACTGAAGAAATACCCAAAAAATACTTTATCATATTTTTCGGGTATTTTTTCAGCCAGTTAACCCATGGGCTACTTATTCAGCAATCCATAAATAGCCAATCTGAAAAATCCCAAAAATATTTGGGATTTTTTGGGACTGCCAGATAGCTGCAGTTAAAGGGCTCTCAGTCCCTTTAAATGCCTTCAGAGTTCACTCGCCATGGAGTTGTGTGGCCTGGAGAAGGGATTTAAAGGGACCCTTTAAATGCCTTCAGAGTTCACTCGCCATGGAGTTGTGTGGCCTGGAGAAGGGATTTAAAGGGACCCTTTAAATGCCTTCAGAGTTCACTCGCCATGGAGTTGTGTGGCCTGGAGAAGGCATTTAAAGGGACCCTTTAAATGCCTTTTCCCTCCTCCACTGGAATAGGGGCACCTTCTTTGGAGGCCCATAGGTCCAGGGGGGTCCGATCTTTTTTAAACTGGGCAGGGGGAGCTTGAGGAGAGGCACTAGCCACCAGCTATGCTGCAAATTTAGTGCCTCTGCCTCAAAAAACAGCCCTTCTAGAGCCCCAGATACCCCCAGATCAATTCTCTATTATAGCCTATAATGGTCCCCATAGGATATAATGGAGCTGGAAAAATTCGGCAAACCCGATTATTTGGGATTTGGGAATATTGTGATGTGGAGGCAGGCAATTGCAAACCACCTCCAAACATCTATTGCCTTGAATTACCCTATGGAGTTGCCAGAAGTCAGCTGTGGCTTGCTAACACTTTCCTCCACCACCACCAACTATTGTTTGTGTAATTTAATGGAAGGTTCCTGGGAACACTAAGCCTTCCTCTCCTCACCAGCTAAGAGGACTGTCCACTAAGAGAGGACCCTAATTTATTCATATTGGATTTCTGGGATGACCACATGTTCGATAATCCTAACACGGTTTGAGAAGAGTTGCTGGTTTGTTCCAAAGGAGTTTCTCTGTAAGGATATTTTTGAAGCAATAAAATATTTGAATCATTTTCTAATACCAGTGTTGGATTTGTGCAAAAGTCTGCAGACTTTTGCTCACAGGAGTAAGCTGCATTCACACAACTGTGTTTTAAGGATATCTGCAGAACTAATGAAAGGGATGCCAGCAGACGGGGGCTCACGATAAAAAATTGAGAAACACTAGTTTACATCTTAAATAAAGTTGCCTTTGGTTCTGATGCACACTGGATGTGAACAGTTACTAGATTTTATGAACATATAGTAGCACTGCAACATGATAAGGAGCATTGTTAGATGTTACTATATACAGCCCCTGACTGCAGTCCTCAGTCATAGTCTTCTTAAGGAGTAGATCCATTACTGTAATGTGACTGTTTTGCAGTTACATAGGTTGTTGATTAAAAACTCTTTGGATGCAATCCTGATTCACTGATTAATCAAGATGAGGATGTTAGTAATTTAGCATCACTTCATACATTACCTGGAACCTTCACATGATGGAGAAGTGATGTACCATATCCTGTCTACCACAGAGACTACATAGTGGGTAAGATGCGGGTTCCACATGAATAACTGATCATACGGAAGCCTCATTCACATGATTTCCTCTTCTATTTAGGGTAAGGAGGAGAGGGATATAGTGCAAACAGGACTGTATAACTGGGCATTCATTTGGAGGCCTGGATTGTAAATTATGTCATTTGCACTGTAGAAGGAAGGAGGGGGTGTATTCCTGCTCCATCGTATGAAGCTGGCAAGTAATATGTAAACCAGCTGGTGAGAACCTTTTACTTCCTGTGGGCACCTGTAGCTTTTAAAGAGTAATCAGTAGTCTATGACTGCAGCACTGTACAGGAAAATGAAAACAGTGTATGGCAAAATAAAATTTATCACTGAGCAGTTACATAATGCACAAAAACATAACATTCATACAGAAACTTTCCGTACTTCCAAGCAGTTTCCATGCACAGACTTCTTTGAAATAAAGGGAAGTTACTCAAGGGTACTACAGTGTTTTTCAGTTCCCATTCATCTCAATGGAGAATCACAGGAGTAGTTTACAATGGTTTGCAAACCATTTTATAACAACCAGCAATGTCTAACTCAATGGCACTGCAAGTCGACTCCTGTTGAAAACAGAAAGATCTTCCAAAACTTTCATAACATTTATGTAATAACTACTTCAGATAGAAACTATGCTTAAGCCTTGGGCTTCCATTGCTGTTGCAAGAAACTTTTTCTATAGCTATCAAGTTTATAACATTTCACAATACATTCCCTATTTGTTATCTTAGAAGCATTGTATTCATCATTTCTAGCACACACATTCTGTTCCAAAAATCATTTGTCAGTCTCCAATGACTTTATTATTTCAGGATTTATACATTTGCCATGAATAGCTTGCTGTCTGGATCTGTGAATAATGAAGAAAAAATCAATTGGCACTTATGCTATTAGATGATAACATTTCATCCTTTCAGAGAATAACAAAAGGGTGAGAAGATTAATAGTATCTCCTAAAGACTCCCAGTCATGGTCCTTTAGCACTTCTGTTCTGCATTTAATAATTACTCACCATAAGATACTTCTGAAGAGTACGGCATATAGAGCTGTTTGGTCCTTTAGCACTTCTGTTCTGCATTTAATAATGGACTCACCAGAAGATACTTCTAAAAAGTATGGCATATAGAGCTGTTTATTCCACTTCAAGGTCAAAAATACCATTTTAGTAGTGCAGAAATTTTGGAGGCACATTGTGCCACACTATTAACATAACATAAGAACATAAGAGAAGCCATGTTGGATCAGGCCAATGGCCCATCCAGTCCAACAGCTTGTGTCACACAGTGGCCATCAGGAGGTCCACCAGCTGGGCCAGAACTCCAGAAGCCTTCCCACTGTTGCCCCCAAGCACCAAGAATACAGAGAACATAAGCGAAGCCATGTTGGATGATGGCTGAAAATGACAAATTGTCATCGTTGATGAGAGGGACAACAGACCCAACATTTCAAAAGACGTGGAAGAAACTGTATGACTGGTACAATATAAATGCATAGTTTAAAGTAATGGAAATTTTGGTATTACTAATCTTGTTTAGTTAATTAGAAACTATGGTAAAAAGATAAGAGTGTACAGAAACTTAAGCAAACCTATAGAAAGTGATTTAAGAAAATTGTTAAATATGGTAATAGAGTTACTGATCTCTTTGTATGTGTTATGTATGTAAGTGGATGTTTGTTATATGTTGTATGTATGTTGATTTGTGTATAATATGAAAAGTAATAAAAGTGTCCCTAACGGGTACTTTTAAAAAAAGAGAGAGAGAGAGAAGCCATGTTGGATCAGGCCAATGGGCCATTCAGTCCAACACTCTGTGTCACCCAGTGGCCAAAACCCAGGCACCATCAGGAGGTCCACCAGTGGGGCCAGAACTCCACTGTTGCCTTCTAAGCACCAAGAATACAGAGCACCACTACCCCAGACACCACTGCCCGTGTCACCCAGTGGCGAAAACCAAGGCACCATCAAGAGGTCCACCAGCAGGGCCAGAACTTACTCCCAAATCCTCCAAGACATGTAGACCCATCACCTTTAACATAGCCAGGCCAAACCCAGGAATGAGCTGGGCAGAGGAAGGAATGAGTGTGAACTAACCTCTGCCTCATCAGTTTGGCCTCCATCGCTACCTGTCCGACCCTTAGCAACAGAGGAAGCTGCAGCCCAGGAATGGAAACGAGGAAATTGGAGCCAGGCTCAGGAGACCCCACCACCACTACCACCAAGAGGAAACTGGGGAGGAAAGGAAGACCATCTGGCAAAAGCATTGAAACCTGAGGAAGCAGCCAATCTTTTTGCCACAGGGATGTTAACTCCCTTTTTAAAAAGAGAGAGAGAGAAGGTTTCTTCGTTATAACAAGATGACCCCCACCCCAGGTAGGGAATTCTGCTGAATAGTTGCTGTACCTTACCAAGATAACATTGCCTTGTCCAGGAATGTGCATTTACAGTCTAGGACAACAATCCTATGGATACCTATCTGGGAATAAACCCCTGTGAACATGCATAGAATTTTACTATAAATCTGTATGAAGGTCCATGTGCTTCCAGATTAATAGGACAGGTAATCTGAAAGGCCATGAACCAGCCTGACTGCTGAGATCATCTGCTTTTTGTGCCACCATTGTCCAATATAAAGAGGGTAGTCATGAGAGATAGGGCTTTTTTGTGATGGCACCTTTTTTGTGAAAATGTATACCATTATTCTGCTGGATGAAAGCTGTAAATTTTGGATATTGGCTTAAAGACTATTGTATGTACCTAGTCTTTAAATTGGGCTTTATGGAACATTTTCATATCTCTTTTAACTTTCTTTTGTCTCCTGAAATGGTTATGAAACTTCTTTTGACTGCTTCTGTTAATATATCACATTTTTACTTTCTTATTCTTTTAGCTTGCCTTGCCTATTTTAATGCTTTTTAGTTGATTCTGTAGATGTTTTCATTCCTAACATTGCTTTTTAATTTTTGTTTTAATGCTGACCTTTTAATTTATTATTTTTAATAATTCTGTGCCTTAACCTAGATGGCCCAGGCTTGCCCAAACAGATCTCAAAAGCTAAGCAGGGTCAACCCTGGTTAGTATTTGGATGGGAAACCATCAAAGAAGCCCAGGGTAGCTATGCAGAAGCATAGCTCTTAACATCTCTTTCCTAGAAAACCCTACAAGGTTACCATAAGGTAGCTATGATTTGATGGCTTTCCACCACCACCAATAATTCTGTAAATTGCCTTGGGTTCCTTTGAGCTTTAAAGCAGATTGAAGTGTCATCTAAACTGGATCTGAATAATTAATGAATGAGAAAGAGCTTCTGGGGCAATTTTGGCCCTTTCTGCACGGACAGTGTGCTCCGGAGAATCTGATGAGTCAAGCCTTAACGGTTGACTTCACAATCACACACATTCCCTCTGCGCTGGTTTTTCCTCTTCCAGTTTATTTAGTTGTGTATTCTATATACATTCTGCATCTCCATGCAAAACCTGCATTTTTTGAGCTAACTGGCTGCCAACCCCTCCCTCCCTCCCTCCCTCCCTCCCTCATGATTCTGCAAAAAGAAAGAGAAGGGAGGGGGAAATCCAGACCCACACATACAAGACTGACAATTTGGGAGCAAGGAATCTCCTAAAGGTAAAATCCCTCCCTCCCTCCCTCCCTCCCTTCATGATTCTGCAAAAAGAAAGAGAAGGGAGGGGGAAATCCAGACCCACACATACAAGACTGACAATTTGGGAGCAAGGAATCTCCTAAAGGTAAAAGTTTCCCTTGCTCGAAAACTAGTTGAATCCAACTCTAGGGGACAGTGTTCATCTTCGTTTCCAAGCCGAAGAGCCAGCGCTGTCCGAAGACATTTCCATGGTCATTTGGCCGGCATAACTAAACACCGAGGTGCATGGAATGCTGTTACCTTCCCACTGAAGCGGTACCTGTTTATCTACTTGCAATTTCTTGCTTTTGAACTGCTAGGTTGGCAGGAGCTGGGGCCAGAGACAGGAGCTCACGCCATCATGTGTCATTTATATTTACTGATTCCTTCTTATGTTCTCTCTGGCTTTTTAAAAGTTTGCCTGTGTGGGAGGACATGTCCTCTTTTGTCTTTGGAGAAGGAGGTAAAGAAAACAGAACAGGGAGGGAGCGTCAACCTAAAGAGAGAAAGGCAGAAACGAGGGAGGGGCAGTACTTAAATACCTGCAGAAACAATTCTACTGTGGAAAGGATTAGCGATTTGAAAGTGGATGAGAACAAAGAATCACTGCAAAAGGAGTTTTGGTAGCTTCGGGGCAACAGTGTTCTAAAAGTGGTCTGAATGCAGATTCCTGTAAAACAAATGCAAAATCAAGAGAAAGCCCCGAAAGAAAGTGAAAATGACAGTGGGAGGGAATGCAGAACAGAAGAACAGGATGCGCTCAGAGACTGGGGCAAAATATGGATGCAGAAAGGGGCTTCCTCTCCTGTTAGCCTGTTGTCTACCAATATCACAATCAGGGGTCATTTCCTGCAGGATAGCACAGGAGTGGAGCTCCGGCAGTAAAGAGCCCAGGGGGCAGGCACATGCCAGAAGCCCCACCCCCTGCTCCCAGCAGCCCTCAGTCAGAGCAAGCAACAGCCAGGTAAGCTGCAGAGCTCCCACTTGCCCCCCAGTCCAAAACAGTCCAGTGGCACCTTTAAGACCAAGTTTTATTCAGGTACAAGCTCTCCGTCCTCTGCGAGGACAGATCTGCACGTGTGTCCCCCCCCCAATAGCTAGCAATCCAAAACAGTCCAGTGGCGCCTGAGCAGTGGGTGTTGCCTTCTGACACACTTCTGGTGATGTCAGGGGGTGTGGCATATGCAAATGAGTTATGCTAATGAGCTCCTGCACCTCTTTTTCTACGAAATGACCCCTGATCACAATAGACTAAGAATGAGGTACTGCACCTGTTGAAGAACATATTTCAGTACATGCTGGAGTGTAGAGGGAATCTGTGCTGCCGTCTCAGATCATCAGGATTTTACAAACAGATACTTAACACGCCATCCTAAGCACAGCTAGATTCGAGTCCAGTAACACTTTACACACCAAGATTTTTGCTATATGAGCTTTTGAGAATCAGAGTTCCCTTTATCAGATACAAGCTTGTGTCTTCTCTACTGGACTCAAATCTAGCTGTTCTACTGCAGACCAACACATCTACTTTCTGAAGCTATCCTAAGCAAAGTTACACTCTTCTAAGCACACTAACTTCAATGGACTTTCGAAGGTGTAAGTGCTTAGGGGAGCATGCATACTCTGTCAGTATAATTAGGATGTCTTTTGTGCCTTTAATTATCTTTTAGAAGTAAATAGTATGTCTGAAATCTTTTTTTCTCTATGCACGCTAATGGTAGCCTGTATTGCTTTTCATGTGTAAAATTTGCAACAATGAAACTGTAAGGGCCACCTCCTTGCAATGGACTTTACATTGTTTTGGAAGGAGAAAGGAATTATATAATTTCGCCTTTAAATGTTTTGACATTTTCCTGAGTGTCTGACATGAGCCGATTTTCAAATTCTTGGAGTTCGAAGAACATTGATTTCTTGGTTTTTGGATGTATGTTTTTATATGAATATTGTGTCATGCCGCACCCCAAGGATTCAAACAATGTTGTTAGCAGTATCCTGAGCATGCTGAGAACTGTTGGTGGAATGATGAAAATTATAAGAATAACAATTTTATTTTTAAACCTGTTATTCCCCTGCTTCTTCTCTCTTTTTAAAAAGTCTATTAGTATATTTTATGGTTTTTAATGTGACCTGATTATGCCACTTCTATTCCTTTGCATTTAGATAATATTTAATACTTTGAACTGGGATGTGAGCTACTCATCATTTTTCTTATCACTGTTTGTTATGCCCAACATACATATTCCTGTCCTTCCTGCACAGAGGCAGAGGTCAGTGAGCAATAACAAATTGCCAGTTGTCCCTGCTTGATTAAGTACTTACTCGTTCTCATACTAAGGAGTTAAGGAAAATGCATTACTGATAGGTGAGACCAAGGCACTAGGCCATCATTGCCACATTAAGGCACTCAGGAAAAGGCTGTCTGCTCCGAAAGCCTCATGGAAACACAGAAAGGTGACTTTATGCAGTCTTCTAAGGTGAAAGTTCATATAACCTTAGATTGTTCAGGCTGACAATCTCTTCTGTAGCTCAGAATCTGACGCTGCTGATGTAACTAGAGTAGACAGTAAGGTGAAAGGCTTCTGTAATGTTACCAGCTGTCTTTAGAAATGCAACATACTTCAGACATCCAATCTTTCCTAACACTAAAAGAACACAATTGAATCCAATTACTTTGATATCATTGTCACATATTCTGTCACAAAAACAAATGAAAGTTCTAGATATTACTAGGGCTTTCTTTGTCACCATTCACTACTGATTGGAAAATGTTATGATTTATTTATAATAGAGAAGAAATCTAAAAGATGATCTGACATATCTATTATTCTATAGGAACTTCCCAAGTTTCTTCCAGACCTCGCTGCAACAGATGCTGACCTGCCTTGGAACAGGTCTAAAAATCGGTTTCCAAACATCAAGCCATGTATGGTTTTTTTTCTGATTTCTCTATTCCTTCTTTTATAGTATATAAATGTGTTCTGAATTCTTTATTCTCACTCTGTTGTTTGAGTGTGTATATGCATGTTATAATTTCTTATAGCAAAATCTGTCTTTGTATCCTTTTTGTTTTATTAAGAGTTGTCTACAAATATGTGTTTGCTTATTCTCATTGCACATAATCTGCAGGTGCAGAAACTATAGCTTCAAATGGCTTCTTAGCTTTGTAATATAATCTATGTATCAAAATCCTTATATTTTTCCTGGACTTCTCCTCCTGAAAAGTAAATGTGTAAGATATTCATTTTCCCATGTGATGCTTTTTTAAGTATACTTGTAAATGTGCTGTGTAGAGTCCACTAAAGATCAGAGTCAATATATAGTAACGTATAAGTCTAGGATAGATTTTATCGCAGGAGACAGGAGTCTGTCTCTCTGTAGTCAACACTGCTTCATTTTTCAGTTAATAAGACAAGAAGTGCCATTATTATTTTAAGCATTAGCTGTGATGTGAGATGGGGGGCAAGGCATTCCTCTGTTAATGTAGCCACATTCTGTGCTATTAACTTTTCAGAGCAGCTGCTCCTGTTATCTGCTGCTGGTTCAGGGGATATGCTGTGCCATAATTTACAAGAGTTAAAAACATATACTTGTAGTTTGTCTGTGGTATAATGTGGTAGCAGAATCTCAGCATTTGTTTCTTTTTATGGACTATATTAATTTGCCATGCATATGTTCAAAGTCCTGTTTCAATAATGTATTATTTTTGTTTTTCTGGTACACCCCTAATATTTCAGTTTATAGTATAATGCATATACTCTATTTTAAATATCCAAGCATGTTCACATTCAACATATGTTTGCTTAAAAATTGACTCTATATTCACATGAATGAGAACCACATTGGGACATTATATAAAGGTTATATGTAGATGAGAGAACAAATACAGTGAACAAAAACTTTGAAATGCTTTCATCCGTTCATCTTTTATTACTGTATGAGTAGACAGAGAGAACAAGTGAGCTGCAGCACCCAACAGAATTATTTGCCAGTAGATGGTCTACCATAATGTGTTGAAACCCAAAGGCTGAACTGGCAGTGAAAAAATATAGATTCTTCACTCCACACTTTGCAGTCTGCTTATGGCTTTGCATCATCCCACTAAAATGAATACATGAGATAGGATAGCAGAAAGGCTGTGATCACATGAGAGGCGTTTGGTCCAATGCAACCACCCCTCCCCTCCAGATCAAATGGGCACAGTCGCACAGCCACATCTGTCAGGTGTTCCCCCAGGATACTCATCCTGTCATGGGACGACTTGGAGCCAGGTTAAAAAGGCACCACATCACAAGTGGTGTTTTTGTTTCCCCGCGCATTCATTGTGCATTGCTAGATATCTGAACGTGGGGGAGCACACACAGAACGGATTGGGCAGTCTGAAACTCAGATCCATTCCCGCTGCTAGGGTGGGTTTTTTTAAAAAAAATTGCCTATATGTGCCTGTGTGTGCATGCTCATGAGTGCACATGCACACACATGCATTTTGAAAAATTTCCAGGCAGCACGCTCCATGGCTGAGACACTACAGTAATGTGGATGCCTGACCATGGAATGTCTGCATGGGTAACTGTCAGTGTGACCACAGCCATATTGCAAAGATGTTGCTTAGAACCTTGTTTATAGAGTAATTATCATATGATGAAACTGAAAATAAAACTACACAAAAGTAAAACAGAAAGAGGATCACTGTATTAAAATGGGTGCTGATGAGGTGTTATTTAATTACTATGTTATATCAGCTTTAAACAAGCCTAAAAAATTAAATTAACTTTATTTCTGCCACACAGATAACAACAACAGAGTGAAGCTAATGCCTGATGCTAGTATACCTGGTTCTGATTATATTAATGCCAGCTATGTGTCTGTAAGTCTGAAATAACTTATAGCTATTACCACATTTTTTCCTATTTTATCTATTTTGGGAGAGTGACTTAAAAATAGATTTTATATGAGAACATGCCTAACTTTTTCTTTATCTCCTTCCAATGCTGCTTCTCCTGTTTGTAACATGGAAGGTTGCTGTTTTCATTATCAAGATTTAATAGCAGTTATAATATTTACCACTTCAAACTTTGTTTAATGATGCTACAGAAGAATGAAGTGACAACACCATAATTTAGTTAACACCTGTAACTACTGCTGCAGCTGGTCTCATAATGACTGGTGCCCTAGATTTCAGTGCCTTGCTGCTGTTCCCCAGAAGTATTTCCTTCCATTCACCCACTTCACAGAAACTTGTATTCCTACTATCATTTCATCTCTGCTACAAGTAAGAAGCTGCCAGTTACTCACCCAAGGCTATTAGCAGGTAGCTATCTTTTACATGTTGCATCAGGACAGTAGCAGATTGGGGGGGGCGGGGCGACGCGACGTTGATGGCGGTCGCCTAAAAGATCGGCTCCTGATCCCGGCTCCAAAAAACTCTATCTACCCGACGAAACAATCGTTTTTTCCCCCCGAAGATGGGAAAACTAAATCCAAAGAAAGGCACGCAGCAAACGGCAGCGTCCTCGACGATCAGGACCCACTTCGCGAACGGTAATTTAACATCAAAGCTAACTCCATCTAAAGAAACAGATCCCAAAATGGCGGGCGCAACATCGCCGCTGCCGAACACAGAAACACTTCTTTCGAGGCAGGAGTTCTTAACAGTAATCTCAACGCTGGAAGAGAATATTAGCAGCAAAATCCAAGCTGCACTACAACCAATAATCCAAGCTGCACTACAACCAATAAACGAACAACTTAAATCGTTAAAAGAAGACCTGTTAGAGGTTGCAAAAACAGCAGATACAGCGCTGGAACAAGCAGAGACGACGAATGAAGAAATCAGGAGCTTGCAGCAGTCGGAACAATGGGCCAGTGAAAAAATTATGCTCCTGGAGAACAGACTGAAAGAAAGAAATTTGAAACTAAGAGGAATAGCAGAATCTCAAAATGGTGAGTCCGATTTAAAATCAATTATAACTGCATGGTTAACTTCCCAACTACAAGAAGACGACATGGCCACAATTAAGATTGAAAAGGCTTTTAGGTTGGGCCCTAAACTAAGCCGCAACGATAGATTTCCAAGAGATGTGTTGATAACCCTCTATGATCAGCAAGCAAAAGAAATAATCTTGAAGGCATCCAGATCGGATCCAGGCTTGCTCTACCAAGGGAAAAGAATTTTAGTTCTCCTAGATTTATCTATGGAAACACTCCAAAAGAGGAAAGAACTCAAAGTCATTACAGAGAAACTTAATCAACACAATATTCGATATAGATGGGCCCCTCCCTGCACTCTGACTGTGAACTACAAAGGCCAAAGATTGCAAGCAAAAGATATAACGTCGGGATACGGCCTTCTTGCATCACTGAACATTGACTTTTCTAGACCAGCTTCCCCGGATCTGGACGATTCCTAACTGTATGGAAGTACGTACTGGAACTACGAGACAAAACAAAAGTATAGCATTGGGGAAAATTTTAACTGGCTACTGTGTATAGCCAGTCACAATACAGAAGTGAAAACTTATGGCACTGAGTACAGGGAGGGGGGGGAACTTGTATTAACAAAGATAATAAGAAGGGTAGTTAATTCAAAAATCGAAGCAACTTAAAATGGAGCCGGGCCAAAGAGAGCCCTCTTTTTTTGCTTCCTATAGCAACTTTAGAGTGAAAAAGCTTGATATAGTTAGAAATATAATTAATAGGTATTCCAGGAAAGTTGGCCTTATGTTTGAGGTCACTTGGTTTAAAAAATTGTTGTGGTGTTGTTTGTTGTTAGTTAAGAAGGTTATAATACTGCCTATGAACCTAAAAATATTCCTTTTACTGTGGCTACACTCGTGTAGGTTTGAGAGATTTTTGCAGATGAAAAAAGTGAAACTGAACTTAATACAACTGTTTTTATTTAAGGTTGGGACAAGCAGTCAGTTGGTTCTTTTGGAAACGTTTTCAATGCCTGATTTTTTAATAAAGATGGAAACATTTGATTTAATTAAT